AAGAAACAAGTACTATTTCAGAACTTTTCAAGCGCGGTTAGATGACCTGTCACGATCTGACAGGTCTCTCACATCTGAGCTCTACCCAAAGTTCCCACATGGACTTTCTAACTTTTTATTTTCAGTTAGTATGCACTTATTCTTCAATTCCAGCAGATTTATGTATTCCAACTGCAGCAATTAAAAAACCTAAGTAAATTAAAAAACAATGATCATAAAGAAAAGTCAAGCTCATATTACACACAGTCCTGCAAAGAAAACAAGAGTAGCTGATCTCCCCACTTTCAAAACACATCAAAATATTAGGAATAGCTACTATCCGCAGAGGCTATAAATGCTTTGCATCTAAATTCACAACATTTCTTTCCGGAGAGTTTTTCAGAGCGTCTCATTATGTGGGATCACAGCTTATATTCAAAGCAGAACTCAGTGGTACTGAGAACCCCGCACTCACTATGGGCCACCTAGGATTTCCTTTTCTTCAGCTGTTAACTGAAGCGGATCCAGCAGCTTCAGCCCTTGAGACAGAGAAGAATGAGCAGAGCAAGCCTTTTCCTCCTCGATACTAGCTCAGGGAGTAAGTGGATGTATAGGTCACACACCATTAAGGAGAACCCTTCTCTCAGGCGTTTCATGTACTCAAAATCTGGGCCACAGGAGATTTTCTTAACCAAGCACTTCTGCAGCTTCATTAGAAGTGACAACATTTGCAGACTAAAAATGAATCTAAAACTGCTGTTTAAAAAAAATAAAACCCCTGACTATTTCAGAATCATCAATTAAGTGAAATAAAAAATAGCCGTGTGAATAGATAAAACGCTGTTCACACTAGCAGAAAGCCCAAGAAAACGTTAAGTTTCGTACAGTCCTGCGGAAGCCCTGTTGTTGTGCCATAGCTCCTCAAACAGTTATTTCAGAATCATTCTCCGAAAACAATGTATAATTTTTAAGTCCTGTAATAGCACAATCCTGGGACAGGTGAATGGAGAAAATAATTCTGTCCCTTTAAGGCCAAACTATCCAAAATGCAGTAAAGAGAAATTGCTGTAGCCACAAGTAGTCCTTGACATATTGGCACAGGTTCACCTGAAAGCAAGAACCAAGGAAAAACCATTCTGAAGTTGCTGAGGATTGTCCCTCAACTGTAGCTTGACTTCACATCCTTTAATTTTTTATTTTAAATCACCATACAGGAGGTTAAAAACACTGCCTCGATTTCACAAAAGAATGTATGCATGAATGCGCACTGTGGATGCTGGGATGATCATTTCAGAGGTTTTCATTCCGATTAGAAGTTTATTGTGACATCACCCAGAATGTAAGTATTGGTATCCACCATTAGTAAATGGCCAGCTGAAATTAATACACTTCTATTTCATTCATCATCACTTATAATCCATACAGCAGACTTTCACTTGAAAGTAACTGTAGTCAGGTGCAATAAAAATCTGACTCATGCATTCAATGATTGCCCTTTTTAGAAGAGAAAAAAAAAATGGCAGAGGGTAAAGCAAGCAAACAATCCCATAAACCAAAAGCACTTGCAAATAGAGGTTTTCCACCCAAATGGAAATTAACACAGACAAGACTGCATCACCTAGATGTGCTGAGCCAAGACAATCATCTTCCAAAAAGCACTGATTTGCATGTTGAGATTTGCATTTTCAGTAAGTGCACTACGTAATGCAGTTGGGTGGCAGCCAGGCTACCAGTTATTAAGCTTAAAAGGATGAAAACCACTTCTGAGACTCCAAGAAGGAGAACTCTAATAGCTATATGCTTCAGACCCATTTCTGATGAGTCAAAGTAATACAATACCCAAACAGACCCTGTCCCTAGTCTCACCATTATTACTTGCTCTGCGTCCCTGCCTCAGGTCTAAAGGAATCACTGCTACCTAATAAGAGTTCTTGATTCCTGGTTTCAGATGGGAAAGCTAACAAACGCCAGCTAGAATTTCCCAAAAATAACCTGATAACAAAATATCATGAGAGGATTGTGGCAGCTGACTTTATTTCTGTTTTGTACCAGACTACAGCGCCATGTGCTCCTCCCCAAACAAATCACTTCCTATCTCAGACTGGTCACCAGCCAAGACGAAGCGACCACCATGATGAATTGTGAGCATGTTTCCTTCCCTCCTACTCAACCCCCAAATGGTTAAAATATCCCCTGACTCACTCACACAAAACAAAACCAAGAAAGGGATGGGAACAGTGAGAACTTACCTGAAAAATTCCGAGACACAAGCATCGTCGTGAGGATTGCACCCTGTGGGGGAGAGAAAGCAGGGATAATAGACAGCGTCACTCACTTCAGAAAGGGGCTGGGCTGACCCATGGAGAACACTGTGTCAGGTGCCAAAGCAGAGGTATCCCAATGCTACCCTGGAAAGTCCTAGTGTATCCAGGATTCCCACATGTGGCTGTTGGACCTGACACGGGACCTCTCAGAGTCCTGCCTTTCAAGGGCGGCAGCTAGAGGCCAGGCAGGATAGCCTAGGAAATCTAAAATGGCACTGAGAGTTATGTTTAGCAGGATAGCCTAGGAAATCTAAAATGGCACCGAGAGTTATGTTTAGACACACAGTTGCTTCCTAACTTTCAAATAGCAGATAGCTGCTTCATGCACACGCCGGAGGCTTTGCCCTAGCTACTGGCAACTGATACAGTGGGAGGCAGACAGTGATCAGAACTAAAAGCCCCAGAATTTAAGAACGAGTTGCTCCATTTCAACTCTCCTGCAGGAAGCAGAAGGGGTGATTGTGTAGCAGAAGAGGCATGGGAAACTTACAGCTTCGGAGAAAGAAACTACCCAGCTCCTCAATACACTTCTTTAGTACCCTGTACTGGAGGACCACATAAGGTACTTCACTAACATTAGGGAGCTAATCATAAAAAAAATATTGTTGCTAGGAAGGCATTAACCTCAAATTCAGAGGATTAAAAACAAACTTAAGGCAAACTAACATATGCTTACCTTTAGCTTCCTTCTAGCATTGAACTTTCTCAAGCATTCCACAGTCTCCTGCCTGTGCATCATCGAAGCGACAGTGGATCGTTGCTGAAAAACAGGAACAGCAAAAAGATCAAGAACATACCCTAACCAAATCAGCCAGGGACGTTCTCTCCACTTGCACACAACCATGACAGGCCAGCTGACATTGCCAAGCCTCTCACCACTACATGGCTGCAAAACGCTGCAACCGGTTCATAACTTAAGAACTCCCCAATACAGCAAGACACATTAAGTCAGGGTTGGCTATTACAGGACTGTGCCCGAGAAACTCTATGACTGAGGTACAGGTGAGAATCAATGCTCCCTGTCTCTCAGGCACACAAATGGATCAAGACAGTAAGAAGACAAAGTCAAAGTCAAGTGAACAAGCATACCCATGGGGGACTGAGTTAGAGGCACTACAGAAAAGATCTGGGTTGCATTAGTTAGAGCTGTAAGGGAAAATTCCAAGCAGTAAGAGAATACTAGTGAGCGGTAGCCTTCCTGGATGTGGCAACTCCCTGAATGTAAGTACTTGACTAGCAGAGGCCTCGGCATCTTTGCATCAGTTTTGCAGAAATAGATTTTCAGTGTGTAAGAGGAAAAATCATATAGCTCTATTGTACCAATGCAAAAACCTGAGCATAACCTCTAGCCAGTGATGCATACCTGCCACCCACAGTAGACTGGGATCCCATCAGCTGCAAAAAGAGAACTTCCCAGAAGTGTTGCCAGTCATTGAGAGCACGTGAGGAAACCAGAGACTGATGCTGCCAGGCATTTAGAGCACATGAGGAAACCAGAGACTAATGCCAAAGTAGCTGTTGCTCTTGCATAGAGCCACAAGCCTGAATTCCCTTTACAAGGACAGTGGGTGAATGACTAACTTGGCAGATCAGTGTGTACAAACCCTCCATTACCTTTCTCCTGCTTGGAAAAAAATCTGCAATACCCAAAAGAAGTGTAAACCATGCTCATATTCAGCTAGTTTCATGGGAAGTCTCTGCTTTGATCCTGTCAGCAAAGCTAGTCACCTGCTGCAGTACGCACAGCAGTGTGGCGGGAGAATGTAGCTAAACTGTCCTCTCTAACAACTTTGATGGCCACTGTTCATTCAGCCTCCTTAGGAGTGACAGTGATGTCAGTTATTCAGTGTGGACTTAAAAGAGTCAGGACACATACTTCAGAAGTTCAGTGATGCTAAGAAACCCAGTGTCTCAGAAAAACTATTAAGATTTCCTACCCCATTTACTTCAGGGGGGCAATACATCTCCAGAAAGAAAACGTATGTTGCACACACAGAGCAAATGGAAAAAACAGACTCAACAGGAGGCAGTTTGGGCGAGAGGCTGAAATGGCTGTGAAGTGAAATCGAACTCCCCATAACTCAGGGAAGGAAAGCCCCTCTTGAACCGTTCTATATTGTGTTGCCACAGGGAGCGAGCTATCGTAATACATACAGCTTTGGTTACAGGCATTGGGACAAAAGTTAAATATACAGGAACGGCTATTGATTACAAGCATGCAAGGAGGAAAAAAAAAAACAGATACGCAAAGTCTCAGCCAATGTGAAGTTTTCAAGGAACTTGCATCACTTTACAGCAGACGCTACACTCCTGTTACACAGATGTTCACACAAGTAAGTTTAAATTGCTAATTTGTTGTTTTGTGGCGGAGGGAAAAAACCACCACAGTTTCTCAAGAAAAAATGAGCGAAGGAACACACTAGACACATCCTAGAAAGCAGAAGTACGCTATGGCATTACAAGAGCATCTGGTTAGACTTAGGTGGAACTATTTCATCCTGCAGAGATAAAAGTGCACCATTGCTGCCCTCCCCTACACCCACTCCCAGCTGCATTCTGGGATTTCCTTGCCAGCTTTGCAAAAGATGAAAAATACTCATGTGTGGGGTCTGGCAAGGCAGAAACTACATACACAGGACAGCAAAAGATTTTTCGCTGATTTCAGGTTTACAGCCAGTTAAGCTGCAGCAGAGCAGAAATGTTCCAACGTTGCAAAGATGCAATGCAATAAACTGAAGTAGAGATGAAGAACTAAAATATTTTGTCTGATGCCAAACTCCATCTGACATTTTAGGATGATATGGATTGCAAGAGGAGATGTGGGGAAAACCAGAAACTATGGACATTCACAAAACCTCTAAAAGAATAAGAGATTATTTTTTCCTACAGTGGCAATAAAAGCACCACAGCATGACAAAGTTGGCTTGTTAAAGGTCAGCCTCCAAAGAAATCACATTTTGAAATATTTAAAATATTCTGGGCTCCTCTGCAGCTAAGTCTTCTTGACATGTCAGTTCAGGGTAAACCACAAATCAATCCATAATAGAGGGAAAAACTTACACAGACCCATGGATGTTTGAGAGCCTGGTCAGCTGTGATGCGCTTTGCTGGGTTTATCGTCAGCATCTGGTTGATCAAATTCTTTGCTTCAGGAGTCACTGTGTCCCACTCAGGTGATGGGAACTGAAAGAGGAAGAAGGAACAGATGATGAACTGAAAGTATCTTCTACTAGCAGAAGAGATTCTCCCTCCTACACAGCTGAATTCCAGCTTTTGCCCTTTTGATACCAGGCCCAACGTATTTGCAAAAACCATCAATTTTTGTGAAAAATCCACGCTGAACGAAAATCGTACAGAATCCAGCAAATGAATGGTACCAGACAGCAGGACACACCTGTACCATTCACCAGACACAGGCAGGAAGATTAACAGTTTAAAAGCCTTTTAGGAATCACTCAGACCTTTGAATTTCTTTCACACGTGACAGTCAAAAAAGTAAAGTCACAGATCTTTTTAACTGAGTTCTGACATGAAAAACACAAGCACTATCTTTTTTTACCCCACCTCGCTCTTTCTCCAGCATGCTAAAAAGCTGTAACAGCATATGCAAAAAATCACACACACTTAACTACAGCAAAACCTCGTGAAAGCGAAAACCGCTAACAGAGAACATCTCATCAGGTATACTTTTCCCACCATAAAGCACAATATCCTGGAACACTACCAGTCACTTAGGTGTAGCAACCCACCAGCAAGTTGTTAGCAAGCATCTACCATACCAGAAATCATTACTTGAGGAGCAAGAGAGATTTAATAGTGGATGGGAATACAGAAGCATGGCTACAAAGAAAAGAATCTCAAGGATTTTCAGTTGCTGATCATCCATGAAGGGTAACTGCTCTCTCCTATAATTCCAGTAATGATAAAGATGACATATTTACGCCATCCTCCAGATGCTTGCATGTGGTACAGATGACACCATGCTGAGTTTAAATGCAGTACGCCTCACTCCTATGAATCTACTGTACAAATACAGGTGAATTTGAGAACACAAAGATAAATGTGCTGTTGGGATAAAAGTCCCCTGTATAGATTGATCTGTCCTGAGAACATTTCCTTACAGTACTACAACATTTAGAAAAAGTTTATCCCATCTCTTTTCTCCTGCATTTTGTGCTTTGTTCAGTTGGGTCATAAAAACACACCTACCATATTTGATTTGCATATAATCTTATTTCTGCGTTCTCAGGCATCAGCAAGGCATTACACAATTTGTTCTGCAAACGTTGCAAGAGACTACTCAAAAATTACGATACTGAGCTTTCAGCCAGGACACTTTCTCCCCACCCGAACTCTGAAGTATTCGTGGTAATGCCTTGCAAACCCCCTACCCAACAGCACAAAGTCCAATTCACAGTTGCCACTTCCTCAAGAGGTAACAACAGACCAGTCCAGTGCATACTTGGTGCTGGGCTAAGGACACCAGGGGCAGGTACACCAGTAAAACCTGAGCTGTTTTCTACTAGGCAAAACAGGGGAAGAATCTACTGGGACTTGTTCATTATAGGTAAGAATTCAAGAACAGCAGGTAGATAGGAGGCATCAGGCACTTCACTCCTCATGACTTACAGAAAGAGTTAAGACATCTAACCCCTGAAGTGCTTTGAAAATCTCCATTGATATAATTAGTGCAAAAACACTTCAAATGAGAACGAGCAACATAGAAACAAGAGGGGCGGGAAGGCAAGAGACGAACACAAGTCCATTTAAGGCTATCAAGTACAAAGACATCACTTTCCTTTCACTCAGGAAGCCACTGAGCCAGGACACAGTGTTAGGCAGACCTTTGTTCTCAGCAGTACAGCCACTCTCAGGGTCTCAGGCACAGAAGCTGGGAGGTAACTGGGGTCCAGCAGAACCCTTGCTTTCCCCCCCGCCCCCTTTTTTTTTTTTAAATATAAACCACAAAAAAGCCTACAAAATGAACTCCCCAACTTCCTCTTGATATTCATGCCCACAGGCTTTGAGCTAGGATTTCCAGGAGTTCCTTCTTCCCTCCCACACCTCTCTTTACATGGCAGGATTTATGCCAAACATTCAAGCTGTGGTACCCAAACCACATTTTACACCACCTTTGCTCCCCAGTACTAACCTCCTTGCTATTCCTCTCCTTCAGGCACCTTTTTACACCTCAGTTTTGCCATGCTCTGAGAACTGTTCCATGAACTGCTTGGCTTTCTACCAGAGCCTCCAACCCACCACGCTGATCCCTACCACAAAGCCACCCCTCCAAAGGTCCCTGCCATTCAGTCTTCTCACTGGGCTCCACGCTCTCCATGGCTGGAAGAAATTCCACTATGGCACTGAGGAGACCAGAGGCCATAATTTAAGCTATTATTCTACAGAATACTTCCCCATACTTTTAATTAGGCCTTGATAAAGACAGGCCTCTTCATTCTACCTTCCCTCTGCTCCCCTGAGAGAGTCAGCATTGGCTACGTCCACAGCACTTTGCGGTAAATGCACTAGAAGACACCACTTCCCACCACTGCATTTCCAGCTCTGCATTTCCCTAATGACCAGCAACGTCTCGGTGCCCACTGCGATGCTTTCCACATATCCTTTCAGTAGCCCCAAACAGGACTGTATCCCAGGCAGTGAAGACAACGAGGTGTATGAACACGCCAAACATCACTTTGCACAGTAGCTTGGGGCCTGCTGCTGGACACCAAGTAAGATAGTGCCATGTTTTGGATGGCTTCTACATCCATGCAGGTACTCAGCAAGAAAGTGCCCTTACGTCATAGGCTCCGGCTTTGATCTGCTGATAGAGTTTGTGCTGATCTTCATCCCAAAAGGGAGGGTACCCCACTAGTAATATGTACAGAATCACTCCTGGGAGGGAGAGACACAGATACACTATGGTTAGGCTAATACGCCAATTATTCCTTCAGCCCCTCTTCCTTCCCTCTTGACAGTCCCCAAGGCAATGATTGCTCTATATCTTCATTTGCCATCATATTTAGCCTTCCGAGGTAGAAAAAGACAGTACAAACCTCTCCTCTGCTGAACCTCACCCTGGTACTTCATGTTCAGCTCTTAATGCCAGCTGCCAGGAGCTAGAACAAGGTGCATGATGTTCTTCTACCCTCCTCTGACTATCGTGGCTGGTGAGCCACAACTCCCAGCTGCTCTCAGAATAAAATGAAGCCACATCCCCTGGGGTTGCTGGGCAGCAAAGGACTTTTTTGGAAGGACTAGGTTTTTAGACGCTTACTGTGCATGGTCTTGGGACAAAAACGCCACTGACAAAGCTAACACTCCTGGCCTGCCATTTAGTCCATGTCAGGCAACACTGCTATCCCATATCTTTAAACTTATTGGTCCCAGATACATTTACACTTCATTTTTTCCTTTTAAAAAAATTCAGATCTCTTCAGTATTGCATCTTCTACATAGTTAAGTGTAATAGGAAATTGCTACAGTTATCTAAACAACTGACTCTGCAAAGCATAGACAGGTCCTATCTCTTGAGTCTCAAACATCTGATAGATGGCCTGAGGAAGGGATTAGGAGCCAGAATCAAATGAGTTCAGGCTCCAATATTAACTCCATCTACACAAGGTGCTTATCCTCAAGTGTGCCTTCATCTCTCCACCCAATAAGAAGGAGCACTGCGCACCCTCCCAGCAATAGGTTATAAGGAATTGCTCTTCTACATGAAACGGTGTTGTTTAAGTATAAAACATTTTGACAGAATCTTACCACATGCCCATATATCCACTGGTTTTCCATAAGGATCTTTTCTTAAGACTTCAGGGGAGAGGTAGCCTGGAGTGCCAGCAAACCCTGCCAGGAAATGGATGACATGAAGTACTTAACGGTACCCAAGCAGAAGAGACCTTGCCGTATCACAAAATCCACTAGTGGCAACCAACAAATTCCAAAACCCATTTCCCACCCTTCATCTCATATTTGCTAGAGCTACCTCTTGGTAAAACAACAGAAAGAGAAAAGAAAAAAGAAAAAAAAAAAGAAAAAGAAAAAAAAAAAGAAAAAGAAAAAAAAAAAGAAAAAGAAAAAAAAAAAGAAAAAGAAAAAAAAAAAGAAAAAGAAAAAAAAAAAGAAAAAGAAAAAAAAAAAGAAAAAAAAAAAGAAAAAAAAAAAGAAAAAAAAAAAGAAAAAAAAAAAGAAAAAGAAAAAAAAAAAGAAAAAGAAAAAAAAAAAGAAAAAAAAAAAGAAAAAGAAAAAAAAAAAGAAAATCAGATGGGATCGAGTGTCTATGTATCGCAGGAAAAACAGAAAAGAAAGAGGGACCATGTCAACCAGCTGGGCACAAACTTGTATGCCAGGCCTTATATCATTGTTATATATAATGGCTTGGAGTTTGAAAACACAAGACACAGAGGGGACACATCTGATTGCCAAATGGTGTGGGCAGTCCAGGAGAAGCAGCTATCTCTCCAGTATGTCCACAGCACTGCAGAGTCTCAGAGCTGATGCTTAGCCTGAGAAGGTCTCATTTCTAATTATGTTTTAGCTAAACAAAGATACGGCCAGATCCAAACATGCCTGAGGAAGGCCAGGTCAAATGCATTTCTGTAAAATGACCAAACAAAATTCCAGATGTCTACACTCCTGAGCAATAGGAAAGTTCAGATCAGGGTCTAAACTTAGCAGCTGCATTCATCTCTGACACTAGCATCTACTGTAAACCGAGAAGAAAAATAGAGAAATACACAGCCGTGTTTTCTGTCTTTATTTATCATATTCTTTCCTGTATTGCACCTAGGCTCGTGCCCAAGGACCCAGAGGCTGAGATGCTTGGAAAGGAAGCAGCAATGCTAAATACACACAAGCGTGCTGGAAGAGCTGAGAGAAAGTACTCAGGGAGCGTGCAACTCGACCAGCCGCCAGGTAAGGGGGGAGCGAAAGTGGGAAAGCTCAAACACTCTTACCAAACCAGGCCTGCTGCTCTCCCTGGACTTCTATAGCCAGTCCGAAGTCAGCCAGTTTGACAGCAGCACCCTTACATTTACTTGCCAGTAGTAAATTCTCAGGCTGGGGAGAAGAAAGAAAAAAGGGGGTAAGAATGAAAGACTGACATCTTCGTTAAAGCCTCCTACCTCAGTATTCACACCATTAAATTGAATCTGCTGACTGAATTTAGCAGGCATGTACTAAAGCTGTTCAGGTGAAGGCACAGCAACAGCAACAAATGGCCTTGACCTAGAGTGGCAGAAAATCCTCAAGTCTAACACAAATCCTGTGTGGGAGCCAGAGCCTCTCCCGACCCAGCCCATACATCACATGCTGACACCAGAGGGCACTGGCAGTACAGCTCCTGCAGCACAGAACCCAAAATTTGTTTCTGTCATCCCCACAGAGAGTAACTTGGGGAGGGGGGGGAGCAAAGGGGGGGGAAGATGCAGTAGATACAATCTGCAGTGATATTTCTCCCCATGAACATTACACAGTCCCCAAGGCGCTGGAAAAGTAAATAAGATGCTAATAAGGGCTGCCAAATACAGCGCCGTAATGTGGGAAGGCATCATCTGGATAAGCAGTAGCTTTCATCCCTTACAGAAGAAGCCTCAGCCTCAAACTGGCATAAGCAGCACAGCAGTAAGTATTCTTGTAAGCTGTTTTTTCATGCTACATATTTACAGCAGTGTAAAATACGCTGTCTTGCTACTGCCGCTGTCACCTATACAAGCAGCCATGTCACTTCCCCCATGTGCCAGGAAAGGGAGACAGACTTTTGCCCCTCACATTTCCGCCTCACATGAATCTCAGTCGAATCATAATTCTGTTGTGTTCCAGCAGAGGACTTCAGCAGAAGGCTTAACACAACTCCAAAAACTGTACTGAGAGTCAGCAGCATCCTCTGAAGCACGAGAGCAGCGAGTTACATGGGACCCTTTGAAACACCAAAGCCTTTAAGGTGGTGGCTATTACAGCTCTGCAGGAAACCCAACTTGTAGACAGGCAGGACAAATGTGATTTCTCATCCTACCCGCTCCTGCTCATTTGTGCAATTCATATCAACTTGAGTTTTTAACCAAGCAAGACGGAAGCCTGAAAATCCAGAAACAGGAGCTTGCCTCAGTTTCACAAATCTGATGAAGGTCTTTTTTGCAGCCTGCTGACCAGTTTCATCCCACGGCAACCCTCTGTCCCTGTTCTGCCTGACAGGAACAAGCTGCTTTGCTCATTCACCTGCTTTAAAGCACTGGGCATGTGCCTTACTTCTGCTTTGAACGAAGGGAGAACAGCCTTGCCCATCACAGTCCTTGCCATAAGCAGCATGGAAGGAAGGGGAACTGGGTCTCAATACATTTGGATGCCACTGGCTTTTCACTATATAGGAAGTGGAAAAGATTTTGTTAACCAAGCTACACTGATGAAAATTCACCAGTGTAAACAAGTCCCTAAAGCAGAAGACCAATGAAGTCTTCTGAAAATCCCTCCCAACTTCAGATCACACCTGGGCTCGGCTTGACTAAGAAACAGTGAAATTTAGGCCAGGCTTGTGCTAGCTAAGCACTATTTGCTTCTAAAACACAGCTACAAACACCTTAAGGCTAATGGTGCTTATCCATCTGCATGTTTGCCAACATATGGGTTGTCTCAGGTTTCACATACTTTTTGGTAAGGATGTGAATGCATTCCCTAATTTCTTACGGTCCCTATGGGCAGCTCAACATTTGAAGTTCTTTAAGAGCATGTCAGCCAAAAGACAGGCTTATGAGAGGGAGGTGCAAAAGACAAAACTTCACTTGAAGCAAGTTCTGCAGTTATTACATGCTGACCCTGAAGGCCAAGCTTTTGGCAAGGAGCTAAATATTAAATAAAAAGCACGGGACCTTTCATTGCTAAAAGGAATGGCTACTCCTCAGGCCTGGATAGTTTCAGTGAATCAGAGCAAGCAACAGAAGAAACACATTAACTACAGTGGGGAGTGTCCAGCAGCTGATAAGTTCTAAACAAGTTCACAACTTTCACACAAACAAAACTCGGGAAGCAAACCAGATTATATCTGAACACAGGATGTGAAGGAAAAGTGAAACCATCCTGTACTGGAAAACAGTACTGATTTTCACAGAGGCCCTAATTTTGGGCAGTAGCGCCTCTCGGAGGCTGCTTTCTCAAGAGCAGGTGTCAGCTCTAATCCAGAGCAGCCATTCCGCAGCAGACCACTTGGATCTTTTCACAGTGCTCTGAATCAGAAGGCCAAAAGTGTTGCATGGGAGTTTGCCAGAAACACTAAGGGTTAACAGCTGTCCACTAGATCAAAGCACTGGGGGAACACTGCCACCGAGCTTGCAACATGCTTTTACCATGCTCTCTGCAAAATATTTTTATACTTTTCCCCTTATGCATTGTATAACAATCCAAAACCAACACTAGTAGCAGGTGTCATCCTGCATTAATTTAACTGGACCACTGGTGGCCATCACCATTCCCACTTTAGACAGAGAGGGCTGCAGGGCAGGCAGACCTTCCCGCACAAATCTCTTCATTCTGGAGCCTGCCCAGCTCCCAGTACAGCTGGCACTGCGTGGGAAGGGAGTATAAGTAACTGCACTGTGGGGGCTCTGGGTCTGTAAATGTGTTATAATGTGGCAAATGGTTGATTTGTCCAGCGTTTAACTGGCCAGCAGTTTTGGTTTTAGATTAAAAGTGCTTCTACTGATGAGAGAAGAAAGAAATGACACAAAAAATTCTTGTTGTGCATCTCTGCCCTAGCCAAATGGCATGTGTTTGGCAACAGCACAGAATAAAAATATACATGCTCTGTGCAGACAAACTCATCCTGGCAGATTGAAGAGAGAGCGCCCCAGGTCTCTAGAGGTCTCTTCAATGGCAGACTAGAAAGTGTCCTTCATTATAACAAATCCTACCCAAGTTTCTCTGAAAGCCTACTGCACTCCAAGGTTCACAACTACTCCACCCTGAAGCTGCCTCGGAGAGGCTGAGAGCTGGCAAGGTTCATGAAGACTGAAAATTTCCTCAGGAGTTCAGCACACCCTCTAGAAAACTCTGAAGGAGCGAATTTGTGCTTCAGGAACCCCTGAGTCCAGTTCAAGTAAAAAAAACCCTGCCAGCTGGCAACACAGTATTCCTGTCTTGCCTCTTCCAATGATCCCCTGGCTGCTCTCCTCAGCCTCTGTGGCATGGAGGAAAAATTACCTTCAAGTCCCTGTGCACGATATCATGCTGGTGAATGTGATTCACACTCTCCAATATCTGATGAATACAGTGGCTGCAAGATAAAGGGAGAGACACACAGAGTTATGCACACACACCCATACACTTGGCATCTCATCTCATCCCAGAACTATTTCCCTAACTTTTATATTTGTACCAGGGAGAGTTCAAGACCCCAGGCTGAATCCCTTCGTCATGCCCACTGGATGCCACAGCTCACTACTGTCACAGCTGGACACCCCCAGCCCCCTCAGCAACAGGATGCTAAACATCCTATCTATAGCAGGACCACAAAGCCTCTCTCCTACCTCCCATCACCTCCTTCCTTTCCTCCCCATCACACTAAGCATCTCACTTGTTCCTTCAGCCAACAGCGCCCACCCCACACAGGAGAACCGAGGCACCCGAGTATCTGCAAACAGCAGCCAAGATTGGGCAAGCAAGACCCAATCGCTCCAGGAAACATTCAGCTGGGCTAGTCCCGAGCAACGGATAAACTTTTAGAGAGCAGCAGCCTCCCCCAGCAAATTCAGGATGACGGACTCCTGGGCCCCTGCCAGTTTGCAAAGCTTTCAGAGCAGCATCTCAAGCACTTTACATATACAATGTGCGCACACACCCGCTTGCTGGGTGCCTTTTAAGTACAGATCCCACTTAAGGCGTTAGTGATCTGAAAAGCAGACTCATTCCCTGTTAAGTGCAGTGTGCTGCACTCCCCCAGCTCACAGAAAACCCTGTCTCTGCCACTCTCACTGCTGTAACCACAGGGGCAAAAGCAAGATGTTATTTACACCTGTCACATAAGGACAGCGCAACACACCCATGGGTGAGGTTTCTGGTTGAAAAACATCTCTCCCGCTAAACTTTACTCGGCTCCCAAGGGTGAATGTGGAATGGAGTAGGGATTTTGACAACTATGGCTGGGCAGTAAGCACCCAGACGCGGGCAACTCAGACGGGTCGGTGTCCTCACTGCAGGATCAGTCAGTCCCCTCACCAAATTCTACAAATCTCAGGGGAACAAATTTGAAATGAGTAAAATATTTGAGGGAAGGGAAATTGGCTACTGGACAAGATGGGAAGAGGGTGAGGGGAGGAAGAGGAGATGAGGTGAAGAACTCTGTATTTGTTACCCCCACCCCTCCGGAGCTGGCAGTACAATCCTCAGGGTCGGAGTCCATGAATATCTCCCCGCTCCCAAAACAAAAATGTATAATTAGAACAGAGCTGAGTCTGAGCGAGAGAGATTTTCTGGCCAAAAATGGCAAAAGTGTGAGGTGTCCCAGGCGAGCCAAGCGCGGCGGATTGGCACGGACCTCGCTCTCTCGCTCTCCCAGCCTGCTCTGGAATTCAGCTCGGCATGGGGAGAGAAAGGGAGGAGTTTCACTCTGTCATCTTGTGGGCACTGCGAGACCTGGCCAGCTGACAGTCAGAGGGCTGAGCACCCTGAGGAAGGCTCACAGAGCAACAGACAGTTCTCCTTTTCCCCTAACCCTGCCATAATTTTCCTGCGCAGTGTCGGTCACTGCCAGCTCTTGACCATTTCAGGGAACAGGCACTGGCCAGAGGGACAGGGGGAAGGATGGTGATTGATAACCTCAAAACTTCCCAACTTCAAGGCAGAACGGCTTGAGTGACTGTGTATCTGTCCGAGATGCTGTGCCTACAACATCTGTACACCCCACTGAAAACTTTTACAGGGCTCTCAAACCTCTCTGCCAGGAGCTCCATCAGAGATGATGAGCCCACTGGCCTTCTCCATCAGCAGACGGCTCATAGCGGAGTGCGCGGTGCAATGCCTCATTTGAAAGCATCATGCAATGCCCAGAAGACAGAGGCTGTAAGCATGCCACAGGGAAAGCAAATAAGCGCCCACAGACTCCACAACAGTACCTACACTTCATACTCTTCCCTTCCTTGCACTCTGTATGATCTTCCTCACAGTACTCTCTACCAAGCTCACCCTGCAGCAGCACCCACTACTCCCTTCTTACCCCTCTCCTCTCACGGCTCCCCTAATTCCTGCTCCAGCAAGGGTTAGGATAAGGAATAAGAACACGGGTGCAGAATAAGCAGCGGTGAAATGTCACCATCGGGCCACTCCCAGGCCCTGCTAAAGCAGAACAGGAGCTGCCTAATCCCAGCTTTGATTCCAAATGCTGCATGTCCAGCAGACGGACAGGTCAGAGAACACCCTCAGCTACTGCTGCACAAAACACCCACCCTGCATAAATGGCAAAGGGACAAGCACAGGCCATTTCAGGAAGCTCACATATGGGAGAGAGAGGACACACTCAGAAAAAGAAGGGCATAACTAAATCTTTTTAATATTAAAATATAAAGGTTGCTCTCACGTACCGTGCCTTTTCTCACTGCGCCAACCAGCTCACAGTCAGAGAGGGCTTCCACAGAAACACAACCTTCAAAGCCCCCTCTCCCCCCGCCCTGTAAACCATTACCTAGACACAGGCAAATTGAATGGGTCTGCCCAACAGCAACGGCACATCACTGGAACCCCTACTAGGAGAAGGCAGAGGCCAAGCAGGCAGTGCTCTCACAGCCCCAGGACAGCTCTCCCCTACGTTTGCTCACTAAGGACACCCTATCACCACCCACCAGAAAGGTCACGCAGACAAAGCCGCTAGCAACGGGTCTTCCAGCAAAGAGCACAGAGTCTGCAAGCGGCAAGGGCTAGAGCTGCGGTGAGTCAGGCTGACCGGTGACAATAGTTTATGCTAATAGCAGAAAGAGGAATTGCTTTTTCCAGACAGGGACAAGAGTGTCAGAACAAAGCTGTGCACAGAGCAGCAGTCAGGAAACTCATTCCACTTGCCAACACACGTGGCACATACACAGAAGGGTCTGGAAACAGTCTTACCTGGCATCTGCTTCACTGTAGTATTCTCTGGCAACAATATCCTCAAAGAGCTCCCCACCAGTAACCCTGGAATGCAAAAGAACAAGGGAGGTTACAGAGTCCATGCACATCTAGCTCAAGGCTGCACGGGATGTACGCGGCCACCCATCTGGGCCCTTTCCCACAGCCTGTGTGGGGACCTGCAGCACAGGGGAGCCAGGGCAGAGCTCCACCACCATGGCACCAGCTGGTACATCCATGTGACTGACCCCTTGGACTGCCATTTCACCAGCAGTGTACAGGACGCTGTTGACACACTGGGCACGAATTGCCCATGCCGCTCTACAGAGCTTAGTAGATGCTAAGTTTGGGCAGAACATCCCTCCTCTGACCCCCTCCAGGCTGCCTCAGAGACAAAATTCAAAACAGCCTCCCTATACAGGATAGCTGCCCTTTGCCATCCCACGCTTACACCTGCTGCCAGGAGCCTTCCTGGTCCATCCCCTACCACACAGTCAATGGATTTTTGTCAAATAGGCCAGAGGTATCTACAGGTCTCAAAAGAAAAAGGGAGAATTATATTAATGCAGGTGCTTTTTATTCCACTCTTAGTCAACCATCCACGTGCCTGTATCACTGGTGAAGCATCAAAGCCAAAGAAAGACACTTACAGATCAAAGACGAGGTAATGGAAACCTTCTTCTGAAATACTGTCATGGAGCCGCACTGCAAAAACATAATCAAGAAATGGAGATTTACAGAGCATGTAGCAAATATGACACTTCACAAATCAAACCCATGCACACAGCCAAGTTCTCCCTCAACCCAATCAGTCTATTAATTCCCCATGCCCTTCGCTTTGTGTGCTCACTTAGTGACCTATTTCCTTCCGTTATCTCAAAGGAACAGATGGGTGTCCTTCACATACACCCACCCCTCCCCAGCGTCAAAACAAACTCTAAATATCTTTGACCTCCTGTTCGTTCTTCTTCTCTAATGCTTCAGTACCCTCCTTTCACACCTGCCTACTCTTTCCTCCATGCTCACATTTTGCGATCTCTCCCCACCCATTCTTATTTCCCCAAACAAACCCTTTTCAGAATCTCCAAACAAGCCCCCAGCCCAAAATTGACTTCCGACCCCACCTGCATGTCAGTGCCATTGATCTCCCTTATGCCTTTCATCTGTAAAGCTCCACGATGTTCCCTCCCTTTACTTCCTTTTCCTCACTTCATTCTGGCTTACACCCCAAATCCTTACCCAAAATTCAGAGCCAGTTTCTTGTCTCATTTTTCCTGACATGTTTGTTACCACTGATTATCTGATCATATTCCCCTCCTCAAAATGTCATCCTCCTTCAGCTTCCTTACCTATCCCCCCTAGTTCTGCTCCTGTTGCCTAAATTAACCGTCATCTTTTCCCTTTCCTTGTCCCCTTTAACCTGCAGGACTGGGGTTGCCCCCATGATGGGCCACTATCCCCTGGTATTCCGGAGTCTCTGGGGCTCTGTCCTCCTTTCCCCATGTTACACGTGGGCAATAACTATTGTATCTATGCAGCCAGCACAGTGCCATTTCCTCCTGTCTGAATCAAAACCTCAATTTCTTTGACGTTTCTCAGATACCTAGGCACTAATTCTAACCCAAGAGGAGAAACTAAGCCCTTAATTTCATATTGCTACCTACCCCCTACTTTTTGCTTTTCTCCCCTGCTGGAAAACTTCACTATTTTCCCTGCCAATCAGAGTCACAAGCTAGCAATCCTATTTGACTCAATTCCTAAACTTTCACACCCTGACAGGGACGAGTTGTCTTCTTCACATGACTGTCTACAGTCCTTCCCTACTTATTCACCCAACTAAAGCAACTAGCTGAGACTAGACCGGGTGTCAGTCACTGCAACATCTTGTAATCGAGTATCGACCAGAGTAACATTACCGTTCTCATCTCCACAACAAAAAGCTCGTTATCCTTCTCTGTCACTTTAACGGTACCTTTGCCTCCCTCCCCTGTCTTCCATTCTCTTCCACATAAAACACAGGTGACCCGTCTTGACTTCTCCCAACATCATGATTTTCTCTCTGCCAGTACCAAGAGGTCAGTTTGCACCTCTTATTGGCACATGACGTCAGCTACCATCACCGTCTTGGGAACGTTTCAAACTAGCACTTGGCACGTGCTCCTACCTCATATGGAACAGCTTTTGCAAATGTTCTCAATGCTCTCTAATCCTCCTTGCAACTCTCCTTTGCTAAGGCACCCTTCCACACGCACGCAAACACACACAAACTCAGAATTGAGAGTAGCACAGATGTGCAGAGACCACTGCCCGTACCTTTCCTAAAAGGATTTTGTTCTTTCCTTATTCTTTCTTCCTGTACTTTCCTATATTTTTCCTGCCTTTATTTACAAGCTCTCTGGGCTGGTCCCTTGACCAATTTCCTTTCCTTAGCATTTCTACTGCATCTAACCGCAGGGGTTTGGGAGGAGCACTCCACACGACATAATGCTGCAAACAAGCAAGTACAGTTAGAGTACCAGTGCAACAGGTGTTTCAGGCACAACATGCTGTTCCTACAGCATGAAAACAGAGACACATCACCTGTAAGAACAATGGTCCTCAAATTATTCGCTGCAAAAAAAATGTTCTTCCAAGTAAGCAGTTTTAGTTGGCTTCATAATAACTTCAATGCAATACAACTTCGTGTTTACAAGAAAACTTGCCTCCTGAGCACTTGGCAGAAACGAGCAGAGGTAGTATTACAAAAACGCAAGCAAGAAGGGTATTTCCTAGGAGAAAAGATTTCCATTCAAGACTGGAAACAAGAGAAGAAGTGGCTGAAACAGACACTTGGATTCCCAGTACAAGGCAGTTTTCACTCCACTGCACAAGACTATTTGAGGTGAATGCAGGAGACAGGCGCATGAACAAGAGCTGTGGCCCAGGACACGGGCAAGAGTCTGTGAAGGGACCTTATGAAGAGAGAACAGATGGAGAAACTTCAAGGAAAGCTGAATGTGCTAATGAGGTCATGTCGGGTGATGCTCGGTGCGCACAAAAAAGCATTCTCCTTCCTCTGGCACCTGAAAGGTCATCGAAGCGCTGCAAGAAACACCAAGCAGAGAGGAGAGTGGCACAAATGAAATCCTGACAGAGGAGGAGCACAGCCACCAGCAGGCTGAGAGCAGTGGCCATGAAAAGGGAGCAACAAACACATCTGCAGGTGGAAGTGAGAAATAGTGAACGACAAACTTTGACGCAAAGATGCGGGCAGCAAATTATATCAAAAATTAAAACATAAATGAGCTGATTGGTGCTATTTCTTTGTCCTGAGGAGAGCAATTTTGTCGGATACGTTATGAAAAGGGAAGGAAGCAGCAATTCAGCTGGCAGAGACTGGCAGAGGCAGCAGAAAGAGCCTTCAAGGACAGTAAAACACTATTTGCGTCCTTAGGTGAGGAACCATGACAGGAGGACAGAGACAGTTCATAAATACTGACGCTGTACATCACCCTAGGGCTGCACAGCAGAAGAAGGCCTTGGAGACAGGACGCAGGTCATTAACTTAGCAAGGGAGCTGCTTCCTCGTGACGGCCCAGAGCGATGCTGGAACAAAATCTGCCCGGGATTTAATCTGCTGAAGTAACAAAGCTCAGGGAGTAACGGGTAGAACAGCAAAACCCAGAAAAGCTATAGAAAAGATGACAATGGGCCCCACCACCCTGCACGGGAATAATTAGCAACAGCTCAAAACATTAGGCTTAAAGCGTGGAGGGGGTAGTAATGAGGGGAGTCAAAAAGGATTAAGAAAAGTCTGAACATACCAAAACTCTCATGACTTTCAATTCCAGCCCACACCTACTTCATACTGATGCTGAAGGGAAGAAACAAAAGCAATACCCAGTAGCAGAACAGCAAGAGCATCCAGTGCTCTTTCACCCCAATGTTTTGCTTACCTACCCTCCTGCAGAGCCACAAGAGTCTTCCTGACCAGCAAGGATACTGCGATTGGCAGCTCTGATGCCATGGTTCACTCTGCTGACAGACAAGTTAAAATGCTCTGCTTTCTAATACAGTGCTAACTACCAGGGGCTGTCAGCTTAAAAACATGATCTGCCTTTTCCAAAAACCATTCAGCCAGCCCATGAAATGGCATATATTCAGAAGTAACTCCACCACCCTCAGTTCATGTCAAGGATAAGAGCATTTAAAAAGTTTCTTGGCCTCCTCTCCACTTTGGTTCATAAATATGATCCACATCCTGTTAACATTCAATCATAAAGATACACAAACATCAGATACCATCTGATACCTCCACCTTCCAGACAGTATAGAGCCCTCTTTTCCTTAAAGATGTCCTATGCAAGTGCCCTCCACCTGATGACAGGACACAGGTTCCCAAATGGCCAGTTCCAAGAGTGGGTAACAGGAACCCGAGTACTGGGCTGTCCTCTGTTTCAGACATTTTCCCACGAAAAGGAGATCCCATTTGTTCCACAGGCTGCTGGTCCTGACACACCATCTAACACCTCCATTACTACCACAAGTTCAGCTTCAACCAAGCAGTTGAGCAGAGCCCACATAGGCTGCTCATACCTGGGAAACCTGTTGACACGAGAGGGTGAAAAATATAATCATATGTAGATGCTGGAGGTTAAAGGATTCCCAAAAACTGACTATCCATGATAAGAAAAATGGAGAATTGAAAATAAAAGTATTCATCCAGTTAAGTTTTTCTTCAAAAACACCACAGAACCCTTTTTTTTTTTTTTCCCCTCTTGTCAGGGGAGCAGTGACGTCTAGTGCAGCAGGCCAGACAAACGCACACATCACAAAAAGAGTCTCAAGTCACAGCAACAGGGAAGTTGCACAACACCAACACAGGGTCTTCCAAAAGACGACCAAACTACAAAAGAGTCTAGTACTTGCCAAGGAACCTGATCTCACTCTATTCACCAGAAGATGAGGCAGATAATTTCTATTAACTGATTCTGTCGCCCAGAAGCAGCGATTCAAACCGTATGTCCTTCCTAGCCAAACACTCTTAACACAAGGATTCTTACAGATGTAGGAAATCAGTTCCTGCCAACACCACGCACAGCTAGGGTCACCTGATGACTGTTCCCATGTCAAAGGTCTCTGATGGATGAAAGGGCACTTACTACAATGGTTAGCAAGAACAGATGAGGAGCGGGGAGTAAGAAGGAAAACAGAAGCAAGTCAGACAATGAGGCACGAAATCAGTCACAGGATATGGCGAAAGACTTTACCCAAGGTTTTAGTCAGAGCACAGAAAAAAGTCCCATCCACGCAAAGAACAAAGGGCTCGTAGAGTTCACAAGCACATTTAATTTTGTAAGACTGTCAAGTCTTACAGATAACTTCAGAAATAATAAATAAAAAAACATAGCACTAGTAAGCAATGCCAGACCAAATTCTGTCCGAAAGAGCAGAATCAGTCACAGGCTGTTACGTAGAAATATCATCTGCAACAATACCAGCTGGTCCGTCAGCAGAAAGTGTGCATTACCACTTGGATGACATCTCCAAGAAGCACATAGATTCTGGGAGAGATAAGCAGTGGTTTCAGTACAGCATCTTGATGAAACAATGTTTTCAGCAGGACACAAAAAAAGCCTAGCTTTCTTAATATACAGTCCTGAATCTGGTACCGTAGTGGTACTCCACCGAGGGTAATGAGAGACCGCTACCTAAAACTGTCCCTC